AGTGCAACAATGAATGATTGTGAATCCAAAATATCTGTAAATGTTCATTAAAATTGTTTTAAAAAAATAGAAGTTATTTAAAATAACTAGTGATATGTGGATAAAAGTCCAGAAGGTCCCACTGCTTTGAATATATGCCTCAGTGAAGTTGGCAGCCATCCATGAGGAGGATAATACTGCCTCTTTCTTAAACTCCAAAATCCAAACACCACTGCCATTTGAGTTCATTCTCACCATATTGACTAGGTTTCTGAGATTGGTAATCTTAACTAGCAGATGCTGCATGTCTTTTCCCCACTGAACAACTGGTGGATTTAAACTACTCACTCACCTTTTGGTTAGCAGCCCAGCATTACACATTACATCACCAGAAATCCCTTTCCCCATTGTGACCTCTGTTCCAGACTTCTATGATGTTCGTTTCCTACTACACGCCTGCATAGATGTTCTTTCCTTGTGGACCTTGGGACTCACAGAATTCCGAGACACTGGCTTTTCAGCCTTCCTGGTTAGCAAGGCCTGTTCTTTGGTGTTTGTGTTCTTTTGTTTGTTTTTTTGTTTTGTTTTGTTTTGTTTTAACCACTACCGTTCTGTTTCTTCTTCTAAGTCATCTTTTTTGCTTTTCAGTAAATATTTATTTTATTCTCCCATGTGGTTTCTTGTCTGCAGGAGCAGTGAATTTTGGACTTTACTTCCACTTCTTTTACTCCCATAGCCCTTGTTCACAGGTCAGCCGGTTAAAAATGACCAGCGCATGTAGGTCTCAGGATGAACATTTAAAGATTCTCCCATCATGCCCACAAACGTAACTCAAACTCTGATGGGGTATTTTCCAGGATTGCTGTCAACCAGCAGCACTTAAAGCCATTGACACTTTTATGATAGTTTATTCATAAAGTGATTTTATGAATAAAATTTTTATTTTATGACATTTCTTAAATTTTAAATTATCTGCACGCAGGAACATGATCTGGATATTTTTACCTATTCTACCATCTATTCTAGGAAGCTGTGGTGGTGTGGTCTGTAGGGAGGTGCAATGCTAGCCAAAGGCCATACTTCTTTGCAAGTTCAAATCTGCTAGCAGCTCTTTAGAAAAGGATGGGGAATCCCCTACCTTGTAACTTATAGCCTCTGAAACACATTGGAGGGTCAACTATGAGTCAATGCTGGCTCAGTGACAAGGAAGGTTGTGTTGTGGGGTTCCCCTCCACCCCATTCTACATTTAGGGAGCTCTGGTAGCATAGTAGTGAGAATCTGTGCTATAATACCAAAGGCAGGCAGTTCAAACCCACTAAGTGCTTCAGAGGAGAGGATGGGCAGCTTCCTTTAGTGTGATTTATTACCTCTGAAACCACTTGGAAGGTTAACAGTGGGTTGATCCTGACTTGGAAGCGCATGTTGTTGTTGTTGTTATGTGCCTTTGAGTCACTTGCGACTCATAGCGACCCTATGTAAAGCAGCTCTAAACTCTGCTCTGTACTGTGCCAATCTCATTGTCTCCAATACACCCATCCTGATTACTCCAGTCACTGAATCAATCGACCTCATAGAGGGCTTTTCTCTCCTGCACTGTCCCTCTACCATCCCAAGCATGGTGTCCCTCTTCAAAGACCGGTCCCTCCTTACAACATGTCCAAAGTATGTTAGATGGAGCCTCAGAATTCTTGCCTCCAAGGAGCCAGCCGGTTTAACCCTTTCCAGGATGAATCTGTTTGTTTTCCTAGCTCTCCATGTTACCCTCAATACTCTTCTCCAGCACCACAGCTCAAAGGCATAAATTTTCCTTCTGTCCTCCCTAGTCATTGTCCAACTCTCTGATGCATAACAAGTGATTGCAAAAACCATGGCCTGTATCAGATGCACCTTAGTCTCCAGAGTGACACCATTACGCTTCAGTACTTTGGAGAGATCCCTAACAGCAGACTTTCTATGCAATATGTCTTTTAATTTCCTGGCTGCTGGTGCCAAGGGTATTGACTGTGGAGCCAAGCAAACTAAAGCTGTGAACAATCTCAATCTCTTCACCATCCATCCTGATGCTGCCAATTAGTCCAGTGACAGCACATAGCAATTAATAATAAAAACAACAATAGAAGACAACCCAAGCACACAATTCTACATCTACTCTACTGCAGATGTGGACCTGAGCTTTGCCTTGTGAGGATGGAACAGGACAGGGCAAGGTTTTGATCAGTTGTTCATAGTGTCCCGATGAGTTGTGGTTGACTTGACAGCAGCTAACAGCAACAACAACAACAACCTTCCAAGGGCCTAGTAGTGTGTGACGCACATGCCACCAGCTAGTTGAGGAGATGGTTGCTGTCAGATGCGATTGAGTCACATTGGACTCCCTTGTGTGCAATTGAATGAAAGACTCTCTGGTCCTGTGTCAACATCAGAATCAGTGCTATTGTTAAGCCCATTGTGGTAGTCACGTGGTCAGTGTATACTGCAGAAAGTCTTTCTCTTTTTTGCTGACCCACTACATTACCAAGTATAATGTGCTTACTGGTACTCACTGTAACAAGTCACAGTCCCTCCATCCTTGCTTCTAAGGAACATTCTGGCTGTACTTCTCCCAAAACAGAGGTACTTATTCTTTAACAGATAGCTGGTTTTTAGTTACTCACTTGACTTGTGTTGAAATTTGATGTGGTTAAACTTTCTGAATTCATGCTAAAGTAATAAGCATGTATTCAAAACTTAGCTTCCTGATTTGTGGCTAGAATTCTCCCCACTGCGCCGATTGGCAGCATGATAATAGATGGTGAAGAGATTGAGATTTTAACAGCTTTAGTTTGCTTAGCTCTACAAACAACACTCTTGGTATCAGCAGCCAGGAAATGAAAAAAAACGAATTGCATGGGAAAGTCTGCTGTCAGAGACTTCTCCAAAGTACTCAAGAATAACATTGTCAGTCTGGAGATTAAGGTGTACCTGATCCAGGCCATAGTCTTTGCAACTGTTTGCAATGCATCAGAAAGCTGGACAATGACTAGGAATGAGAAAGGGAAAATTGATGCCTTTGAGCTGTGGTGCTGGAGAAGAGTGTTGAATATACCACGGACTACTAAGAAAACAAACAGATTTCTCCTAGAGAAGGTGAGACCAGGCTGCTTTGGAGGTAAGAATTCTGAAGTTTCATCTGATATACTTTGGACATGTTGTAAGGCAGGATCAGTGCTTGGAGAGGGACATCATGCTTGGGAGGGTGGGAGGACAGCATAAGAGAGGAAGACCCTCAATGAGGTGGGTTGATTCAGTGACTGGGGTAATGGGAGTAGATGTGTCAGAGACAGTAAGATTGACACAAGATAGAGCAGGTTTGAGGGCTGTTGTACATAGGTTGCAGGTGACTCGATAGTACAGAATAACTACAACAATTGTCCTTTGAGGTAATCCTAAATCTCTAACGTGCCAAGGTGTAGTCAGTTGTCTTCCTCCTAACGATATCCTTGTCTTCTTGTTGGATATTTGAACTGCCATTCTCAGTTGACAAATGCTTAGTGTCTGCAGCAACAAGACATTTATACTTTCCACGGATAATTTAATGTTGAAAATCAGCTTCATGCTTCTCACCTTATTCAGGTGCATTATGACTTTGGCCTTCGGAACATCCTGTCAGTGCTGCGGACACTGGGCGCTGCCAAGAGAGCCAACCCCATGGATACCGAGTCCACTATTGTGATGCGTGTCCTGCGAGACATGAATCTCTCCAAGCTGGTAAGATTCCCGGAAGGAGCTGTCCCACCCACTCCCAGGTGGACTCCACGAACCAAGCACAAAAGAGGTGTCATGCTGTTTACCTAAAAATGTTCTTAGATTTAAAAATTAAATCTGAAATCCAAATTGCCAGATGAAACACTGGAGAACATAACTTAAAACTGTACCTTTTACAGAAGTTCTTACTTTTTGTCATGATTCATGTAGACCATCTAAAGTCTACTTGTTTCAACAGAATTGAGCTTTTGTTTTAAATACACATGTTAAAATTCCACATCCACTTAGTCTCCTGTGTTTTAGAGCAAAATAATTGATAATAATAGTAGTAATAATAATCTTGAAAATCTATTCTGATGAGAAATTACAAATTTTATTATTGTGCAGTAATCTTGTGCTCATTCAATTTACAGTAAAACACACTGCCATCACATCATTTCCTCCTCATATTGACCCCATAGGATGATGTAGAATTGCCCTGTATGATTTCTGAGGCTGTGACGCTTACAGAGGCAGAGGGCCATGTCTTTGCTCTGTGGAGGGGCTGGTGGTTTCTAAGTGCTGACCTGTGACTACCAACTTGACACTTAACGCTGAGCCACCAAGACTCCTGCTTACTTAACTCTGTTGTTGTTAGATGCCATCGAGTCAAGATGAGCATGATTCATTCATAGCAACCTTATGAACAACAGATCAGAACCCTGTCCTATCCTGTGCCAACCTCATTATCTCTGACACACTTGAACCCATTGCCACAATCACTGTGTCAATCCTTCTGGTTGGGGATCTTCATGTCTTCTGCTGAACCTCCACTTTCTAAGCATGATGTCCATTTTCCAAGGACTAGCCTCTCCTAGCTACATGCCCAAAATATGTGAGAGAAAATGTATCCATTCTTGTTTCCGAGGAGCTGGCTGTACTTGCTCCAAGACCTATCTGTGTGTTCCTCGGACAGTCCATGGCATATCCAGTGCTCTTCTCCAGCACCAACTAGAGATTGATAAACAATTTTCTAGTATTAGTGAATCTATTATTGAATGTCCAGGACTGCAGCCTTCAAT